AGCGGTGTCGTCTCGTGGTTCATGGAGCAGGCCAAGATTAACGGAACACTGAAGGTGACTGGTGACGGCGAGCAGTACCGTGACTTCGTGTACGTGAAGGACGTCGCCCGTGCCATTCGTACGGCCATGCTTCTTAAGGACGACGACTTTGATGTGTTCAACGTCTGCACCGGTGTCAAGACCACGATCAATGACGTTGCTGTCGCTGTGAAGGCGAAGTTCGGCTCGTCGGCTGACATTACGCACATTGCGTACCGCCAGGGAGATGTCAAGGAGTCGGTGTGCTCGCCTGTGAAGGCTTCCACCAAGTTGGGTTTCACCGCCAGCTACGACTTCCCCACGGGTATTGGTGAGACCCGCGACTGGTTCATGACTTTGTAAGAGCCCTGGACTGTGTTCATACACGACGTTGACAGCAAGAGAGCTCGGAGGTAGTGACTGCATTGTAGAGCGTCAATCCTCTTGCGAGGCTGGAAATGATCGTGGCAGGTAAAATGTTGATAAAAGAAAAAAAAATGAAAAGAATAAAAAATAAACTGGGTATTAAGCATCGAGGCGTAAATCAAACTCTGAAGTACATGTAGTGCGTCCATGTCACAGTGACAATGCAGAACAATCTAGAATCGAAAGCAGGTTCAGTGAGAGCCTATCAAACATGACGATCTTCCTGAAGTTTGACTCGGGATACCTCATTTCTTTCATCTCTACCGACTGTAGTACTACATGTACAGTAGTAGAAGGACTGTCATACAAGCAATGAAATACTAAGCTTACTAGGAGAAGCATTCTTCTAATCACCAGGAGGTAGCGTGCATGTTGCGCGCACCAGAGCCCACACAGTGTAATTTATCCGTCGCTTTTTCTTTAATTTCTTCCAGGATTTTTTTTTTTATAAAATTGTGTGCGACTGTTCAGCGGGCTAGCGCCACCGCCTGTCGCTTGATTCGGTACATTTCTTGCCCCCGGCCAGCGAAAAGCATCGCAGTGAGCTGAGTTGTTTTTTTCGCCCAAACGCCAGTGCGTGACTTCTTCCGCGGAGCGAGCCTAGAGCAACAAGATACACGCGATGCTGCCCACGCGTCACGGCCGTAATGGCCGCCCCGAGACAAGTTGGTTACTGCTGCCCAAGTTCTACGTGTACGTGGGGGCACTGGCCATCTTCGCGGTTGGCGCGCTGTTTGGCGGTGGCTACTACCAGACAAGCGGCGGTCACAGTGCCATGACGCCGGTGTTCCGCCGCTTCGCGTCCCCCAAGCCCACAGTGCTAGTCACGGGTGGTCTGGGCTTCATCGGCAGTCACGTGGTGGAGGACTTGCTTGCCAATAACTTCGAGGTGGGCGAACAAGTGGAGTCGCTTCAAATAGGATCCATGACAGGAACGCTGACACTGCTCCTGTTGTTGCTGTAGGTGGTGGTGTACGATGACATGAGCAACGGCAAGAACTTCAATCGCGGCGCGGCTGCTGTGCTGGTCAAGGATATCACTGTGGTGGACGACTTCTCCTTTATCATTCACAAGGTGCGTAGCATTAGATGATTCTTGCTTCGTGCAGGATACAGTAGTTTTCCCTATCAAAACGTGGATCGCTGACATGTCCCTTGGCACAGATTGACTACGTGGTGCATCTTGCCGCAGCGATCTCGGTGGAGGAGAGTACTCGTCTTCCCGAGAAATATGAGCGCATTAACGTCGAAGGTTCGCGCAAGGTGCTCGACTGGGCCGCCAAGAATGGCGTCAAGCGAGTTGTTGCTGCTTCCTCCGCTGCCACGTACGGTACTCCACTCCCCGAGAACTTACCTTTGAGTGAAGAAACCGCCACTGGTGGAATCTGCGCGTATGCCACGACCAAATTCCAGATGGAGAAATTGATGAAGCAGTTCAACGAGGACTATGGTCTTCCGTCGACGGCGCTACGTTTCTTCAACGTGTACGGCCCCCGTCAAGACCCCCACTCGTCGTACAGCGGTGTCGTCTCGTGGTTCATGGAGCAGGCCAAGATTAACGGAACACTGAAGGTGAC